TCAACTTCTTCAGACCTTTCTTGTCCACCAAAACTCATATTAAAATATACAGTGGTGCCTTGATTTATGACCATAATCCATTCCAGAAGATTGACGTAACTTAAAATGGCCATAAGTCGAAGCACCATTTCCCATAAGAATGCATTGAAATGCAATTAATCCGTTCCGGCCAAAGGAAAAAAAATCACCAAAAAATAATAATAAATCATTGCAAGACTCATTGGAAACGCAATTAAGCCCTCCCGGCTGAAGGGGGGGAAGCAATCAAGAGTGCAAGACCCATTGGAAATGAACAGAAAACAAATGGAGCAGATCGGAAATGCACAGAGAACAAAGGGGCCAGGTCAGAAACGCAAATAGAACAAAGGAAAAAGCAAGGGAAGCATACAGGACCCATTGGAAATGGGGAAACCCCCCAAAAGCAACCAACCCTCCCAAGACCCATCAGAAATGGGGGGAAAAGCCAAAAGACAAACAACCCCTCCAGGATCCGTTGGAAATGGGGGAAAAACCCTAAAAAGCAACCAAACCCCCAAAATCCATCGGAAATGGGGAAAAACACTCAAAAAAGCAACAAAAATCCCCATGACCCATTGGAAATGGGGGGAACCAAAAAACAAACAAACCCTGCCAGACCCATCACAGCACAGAAACATAATCCCCCAGCTCAAAACCATGCTGCAAAAACACCCAGAACAATTTTTAAAGCACTTTACCTTACAAGGCAGCCCAAAGCCTCCCTGCAAACACACACACACACACACACACACACACTCAGAAGCAGAAGGAGGCAGTCCCAAGCCTCCGACAATGACACACACTCTCTAATTGCTGGGGTGAATGAGCTACGAAGAAGCAGCCGTGTCTCCACCTACAGTTAGAAATTTGAATTTCCTGCCTTTTCCCCCTGCCTTTTTCTGTTCGTAAGTGGAAGCTCCGGTCGCAAGTAGAAGCAAAATTGTGCAGCCAGAGCTGGTTGTAACTTGAAATGGTCGTAAGTAGGGACATCTGTAAGTCGAGGCAGTACTGTAACAGTTTTTAAGTTGCCACAACATTTTTGTCTTCTTTATTTTTTTTTCTCTTTCATGGTTTATTGAGCCTGTGATGGAATCTAGACACTGTTCATCATATAAACAGCTTTACCCATCTGAAATGACACTGAAAAAAATAAAACTGAGTCTTACAAGTGTACTGCTAATACCTCAACCCCAAACCAAAATTACTTTTCCCACTATCTTTGTAGAGAAGATAGAAGTATGGGGTTTAGAACAGACCATTGTGATAGCCCACAGCACAGTTGCTATGAAGTCTAGAAGAAATGTTTACATGCCATTATCTGATACCACCCCCAAAAGTGGGAACAGACCACCTATACTGTGTCTCTTGCCTTCAAACAGCGGAGATAGTCCAGTGAGATAGTAAAAGCCACTGAGAGGTCAAGGAGGATGAGCAGGATCATATTGCCCCATCTGTCACCAACATTGTCCATCCTTCAAAGCAACTAAGACCATTTCATATTAAATTAAGGGCTAAAAACTGATTGAAATTTATCTAGATAACCTTCCTTACCCATAGGAGGCTGGAGCTATTATATCTTTTCCTTGATCAAAAAAGGGATATTGAGGGAGTTTTGACATACCTTTACAAACAATGTTCCCTCTAATTTTCCATGAGTGCGGGGCAGGGCCCATGCACACAGGATTACAGCTGCGACCAAAACCAAATGGGCAGCAGCACTGGCTGTGGGTATGTGGAACCTGTGCAGCACTGTGCAGCTACACACCTGCATAGCTTAGAGGGAACATTGTTTACAATCTATATTTTAAAAATATAATTACATTTGTTGAAACTGTATTGGCTTTATGGTATCTCAAAGAAAGAACCTCATAGTGGTCTTATAGACCAGGTGGGTGGGATACAAATCAAATCAAATCAAATCAAATCAAATCAAATCAAATCAAATCAAATCAAATCAAATCAAATCAAAAATAACTAAATAAATAAATAAATAAATAAATAAATAAATAAAATAACATTCTGGAATTTGTAGACCAAAAGGCTAATTCTTCCAAGCCCTAGTTCTAGTTATGCACTGATAGAAAAACTAAGTTGATTTCAAATGCTTTATTCTGCATTTTCTGTCTAGAATTTCTGTTCCTTTGTCAGCACAGATTCTGGCAAACTTGTGGCTGAACAGTTCTGTATAATTATTCCCATTTTTTAAAGATACAGAATTAAGGCTGGGAGGTAAGTGATTTGTCAGGACATCTGCACAGGACTGAGCCTCTGCATACTATAACATAATGAGTGAATGTTTTGGTGTTCAGAAATCTGTTAACCACTATTCTACATGCCCTGCTGTCTCAGTGCTTCAACAATGGCCCAAGGAACTGCGAAAAAAGAAATAGAGTGAAAGTACAGTGGTGCCTCAACTTATGACCATAATCCGTTCCAGAAGATGGACGTAACTCGAAATGGTTGTAAGTTTATTTATTTATTTATTTTAACTTATACGCCACCCACTCTACCCAAAGGTCTCTGGCTGAAGCACCATTTTTCATAGGAATGCATTGAAATGCGATTAATCCGTTCTGGCCGAAGGAAAAAAATCACA